CTGAACAATACACTGATTAGAATCAACCATGTCGCTGCAATATGCAGGTCTATTCTTGCAAATTTGCGAGGCACGTGTGCATTGCATGGCCTTAACTTGATAATTTTATTTCTTAGGCTGCACCATGCACACTTGCCTCGCATTTCAAAATCATGTTTAGGAAAAAATAATTGCTTTATTTAAAAAATGCGTTGTTCCTCTACTGCATTTTTATGCGTTTTAAACGAAACAAAAAAAAAAAACAAATGGCCTGGAAGAAGGCAAAAAATATTGTCATTATGGCGATCAACGTGTTAAAATAAGTTTCAAGAACTTTTACATTAAAATAAACAAAAACAATTAACAAATCAACTAAAATGCTGTAACAAAACATGTAAATTTGTCGAATTTGAAAGTTAATATTCTAAAAAGGCAGAAGGACTTCAGTCTATTGGACTGAATATTCAGTTGAATAAATAACAATTATTATTATTATAACTATTCATCTAAAATACCTGTTAATATTTATTAATTGCTTGTGAATTTATGTGTGACAATATTTATAAATAATATAAATTACACTGGGGAACAGTGTTTTAGGGTGATTTTGTTTTGCTGATTTCAAATATAACACAAATTTGACCTAATTGGCTCCAGTTTTTGAGATAAAGTCAACCAGTCGAAAAAAAAAATTGCAATAATAAGACATTCAATTATTTATTTAGTTTAATCAGTTTTGTCTGTAAAACTGAAAAGCTGTATTCTATAAACAATGAAAAATATTGATAAATTATAAAAAAGATTTTTATAAGCTCCAAGTTAGGTCTTTATCATTGTGTCGTTCGTAGAATTCCGTACCTTAATAGAGTACTGATTTTGAAAATAAATTTTAACCACTTCAGCACGTCGTTGAACCGTGTAGATGCCATAATGTAATGTAAATATTAACTGAATATGTCTGCCAAATATACCATCTGTTGGTCTATCTATTTCTTCTTGAGCTGTTGGTAAACATAGAGTGTAGCCAAAGGGTGAACCACTTCGAAATACTGGTACGTTCTCACTTGAAGTCACTACAATTTTTCTCGAAATTTCCGAAATCATGGTCAAAATCATCACCGAAATTACTTCTCTGTTGAAAAATATAAATGCAGCAGCTTGTGGATCAAAAGACACCGGAAGAGTGCAAAAAATGGTATAAAAAGTTTCGGCGAAATTACCGAAATCCTATAAAATCAATGTTATGTGATTTCAGAAATACGGGTACGTTTTGACTCGAAAACTTCTTTACAAGGTGATTTATTTTAACGCTCTGAGCCAGTCCGAGAGAACATTTCTATTATTCATGAACAAAAACCAAGATATATTTAGAATTCACTAGTATATCCCTAACCATTGTTCCCCAGTGTTATGAATTAATTTTTTCCAGATTTATGATTTTCTTGGTCCTTAACTCAATTTCTTGCAATTTGTTGGTAAAAAAGTTTATTTGAATTTGGAAAACTAAATAATCGGCTATTTTTAAGGTTATAAACTTTTCCAACACATAGTCTAGGTACAGTCATTTGTAAAACATGTTATTACGTCCAATTAGAGGTACTTAGATTACAAGCAACATTTTCAAAAACTTATTTTCCTTTTTTGTCATCTATTTTGAATTTTTCAATTTATTCATTATTATTGTTTATTTTATTGACGTAACTACATAACCAAACTATTGACTGAAGTCCTTCTGTACTTCATCCAAATTGTAATTATATGGTATTGCTAATTGAACTTAGATAAAAGAGACCAGATGTATGACATACACCGGTGTTTAACCTGCGCAAATGTTGCCAATTTTTAAAAAAAGGTTAACGGAGTGGGGGAACTCTGTGACAGGGATCGGACTTTGTTTATAAGCATCATAATGAACTATTAGATTTATTTAAAATATATGTTTAATGGAATTTTGTATTATGAAATAAAATTAACGTGATTTTTTAATATCAAACAGCATTTTGTGTAAAAAGCAGACCTTTTATAGAATAATATTTCGTTAGCGTTTATTTACTATGGCGCTTTTCAGCAAGAGACTACAGTAAAATGTTGAAATAGAATATTGTTAATAGAGCACGAAATGGTAATCATTACCTACGGGTATTATAAAAAAAGCATGTGCGCAGGCGAATACTGCAAATCAAACCTTGTGAGTTGCAAATTATACTTTTTCTACGGCTGTTACATATTATTAAAAATTAGTCAAAATGAGAAAATGCTGTTTTGTATTGTAACCTCAGCTCCTTTCTTTAGGAATATTAATTAATATAGAGGATGAGTCACATAAAACTCTAGAAATGCATATGTCTTAAACCAGATAAAATTTTAAAATTTAAACCTGTTAAAAGTCATTTGATCGCTAGGGGTGGGCGATTATCGAAATAAATAATCGATCATTAAAAATAATCGATTATTTTCGATTGATCGATTATTTTCAAACAATCTTTTTTGGTCGTATTTCCTTTAAAATCGCCTACTTGATTATCTGGGAGAAATCAAAAATAATCGATTAATTAAAAAGCCAATTAACCGATAAATCAATGTTTACAAAAAATAATAAAAGAATTATCGTTTATTTTAAATAATGGATTATTTTCGATTAATCGATTATTATCGATAATTTATTTTTATTGTATTTTCTTTAAAATTAATAATTCGATTATCTTTGAAATACTGAAAATAATTTATTATTCCAAAATAATCGCTTAATCGAAAATAACTAATTAATTAAGAAGCCGATTCTACAATAAATCTATTTTCCAAAAAAATAACCGAATTATCGATTATCTTCTAATTATCCATTTCATATTTCCTTTAAAATTGCTATTTTAATTATTTTTGGAAAATCTAAAATATTCGATAAATCGTAAATAACCGATTATTAAAAAGCTGATTAACCGATAAATCGATAATTATAAAAAATAACCGAAATATCGGTTTTATAAAATAACCGATTATATTCGATCAATCGATTATTTTTATATAATACCTTTAAAAAATCGAACATAATCGATTAATCGAAAATAATCGATTAATTAAAAAACCGATTAAACGATAAATCGATTTTTCCTAAAAAATCGATTATTTTTAATTAATCGATTATTTTGAATAAATCTACTTTCTTTTGTATTTGCTTTAAAATCGATTATCACATTATCTTAAAAAAAAACGAAAATAATTTATTAAAAATAATGGATAAATCAATTTTCATAAAAAAATAGAATAATCGATAAATCGATTATTTTTATCCGAGTATTTAGCTCCAAAATTTAGAGATTCGGATTTTTTGAAACCGCATTTGATTGTATAATAAATAACAAATATTGCTAGACTTTGGATTTTTATAGTGAACGAAAATTTTGTTCGAGTTTTTTAGGGGTTTATAATGTAAAATTTTATTAACAATGTAACTAACTCCCGTAACTTTAGTATTTTTTTGCTTCATATTGTGCGTTTTACTTTGTTTTAAGACTCAAGATTCAAATGTCAGTTTTGATTTGACCGCAAATAAGATGAACCTTGAAATTTTAAGTAGGTCATCCTGTATTTCAGCTAATATTCTTATAAAAATACCTTATATATAAAATGTAGCTAGAAACTATGCTTCTTTACTTCTTATTTATCTATCAAAAAGGGCTAATAACCACCTTTAGTAAATATTCTTATAAAACTACTTTTTAAAAACAAAATTTCGTTAGCAAAAATGCCTATTTACTTCTTATTTAAATTAAATGTTCAAAATTTTATCTTTTTGTAAATGTATGTAAGTAATATGAAATCTGTTTTCTAAAATATGTATTTGATGCTTAATATTTATTGAAACCCCTTGATGCGGATCTAAAGTAATCAGCCCAAAAGATCACGGCGCTTTATGTCGAAACGTTAATAAATATTTACCGCTGAAAACGAATATATTTTTTATCTTTCATAACATTTGTACTTGTATTATAAGTATATACAATTCTTCAAGTTACATCGTGGCATTTTGAACTTAAAATTAAATAACTAGAACACTTTAAATTGCTAAAACACCAACAAATTAATCAAAAAACAGCTGTCAATGGTGATTGAACTCAGGTGGAGGTGAGCGTTGAATGGAAAAATCGGAGCAATTCGGGTGGCGTCGTGCGAACAATGATTTTCAATTGATGGGTTACTTGGGGTTAAAATAGACAACATGCGCAGTGTACAATGTCACATCTTTGGTCACTTTAATTTAAGTAATTGAAATAACAGTTCATTTTTATATTTAATTTGTTATATCTTATATCATGAATCAGTTATTTTTAAATAAATAAAGATACGTTTTAAATAAAAGTTTTAACTTTACTAGTAATGCTTGGATCGCAATTACATAGTATTACATGCCTAGTAGAACAGAAGATGTAGAGGGCGTATCTGCATAGCATTAGAAATTATCTACTTCAAAAGAACGTCACTAGATGCCACGCAAAATTACCTCAAATGCTTTTTACTAGAGCATTATCCTACTATAATATCTTCATACAACGATCAGACGATATGCAGAATTAAAATAATTTTATTTTGATATAAGTTTTAATAATCTGAGTAAGAATAGATAAAAGGGAGACTGCTTAGAAGCAATGTCTGTGAATAGCCTCCTAATAACAAATAATTTAGTATAATTATCAATATTTAATGGTTTTAATCCATTATTTGGCGTTATTTAATAAGTAGGATGTCCAGGATTAAATGCTAAATAAACTTTAAGCATAAAATAAAACAAAATTATCTTAGTTATACCATCAAAATTGTTTATATATGTAAAAATAGAAAAACAAACGCTATCTGTTAGATTCGAATGTAGACGAAATAATTATTATAATATTTATAACTTCAATATTATTATTTTGGAGTAAGCTAGTTAAAGTAAGGAAAATAATTTTTTAAAAAATTTGGGTATTTAATAAAAACCCCTCTCCGCCTATGATTCAGAATTAAATGAAAACTGCCCTTTATAGATTCATCATGGACAATTTTCCTTACTATCGGGAGAACAAGCAAGGCTGGCAGAATTCTATAAGACATAATCTGAGTTTAAATGACTGTTTTGTGAAAGTGCCTAGAGATAAGGTGTCACCTGGGGGCTGTGAGCAGTCCGGCGCTGGAGGAAAGGGCAGTTATTGGATGTTGGATCCTAAAGCTGCGAATATGTTTGAAAAGGGGAATTACCGAAGAAGGAAAACGAGACGGCAAAGAATTGCTGAGTGTACGACCGCTTTGTATCAGGTGAGAAATATTTTTATTGGGATGCTTTTTGATTGAAACTCCAGATGTTATTTTAGTAGAGACAAGACCAATAAAAAAATATCAAATATAAAATTTACCTCTAATAAATATTACAGTGATAATTTTTTTAAACAATAAAATATCCCAATAATTATTTATTGACAAGCAATTGAGACTTATTATCTTGCCCCTGATTATTATTTATTTATTTTATTTATTAATTTCCTCAACAGGTTTTATGATCTAATTACAGAGAAATATAGACAGAGAGAAATTCATGTTCATTTCAAGCAAAACATAAGCACTTTCGGGCTTGTTTTTAAGCCAAGCATGTCGTAATTTTTATTTAAGAAATTTTTAACCACGCATGCTAAACAATCGTCTCTTTATGATTGATTAAATCGCGTAGCCAAATTGTTTAACTAAGTATGTATATTCTTATTCCTAATACTTAAAATAAAAATCGCTCATGTCTGATTTTAGTATTCAAATACTTAATTCAAGATTTTCACAGTTTTATTATTAAAATGCAATATTTAATTAAATAATGCTTGGTGATCGATTTAAATTTGGAGATTCTTTTTTTAGAATGATACCTGCCCTTATATAAGCACTATCATACTTGAATGAAGCATGTCTATTCTATTTTTTCATATGCAGCGTGCCTAACAATAGTGTATGTGTTTAAGAGGGGTTGTTGTCTTCAGACTAAGTCTATTAGCCACACAATTTTTTTTTTGTAATTTTAAAAATAAGTAATTATATATTTTTTTGTGAAAAAACACTCTATAAGGGGGGTTTATCAATATTGCAATCTGATCATGAGTTGATCAATGAGTAATTTTGTTATAACCTAACTTAACTAAGGTTGCAATCTCAAAAACTAAAGTTCTACTTGCTAGTATACCTTAGGGTCTGATAACTAAACTAACTAAACTAAACTAAACTAACGTGTAATACTAAACCGCACAATGCTTTGCTTTGTTATTAACACAATCACTTGGCTAACTCAAAAGGTTTCACTCTCTTGAGTCTTCTTGTCAGGTTAGTGTTATCAAGAAGCTGGATCGCCTTAACAATCACATGTTGGTGGAGCCATTGTTCGTGACTCCCAGCGAATCTGGTGATAGTCTGGTTAACAGTTTCCATGTGAAGGTTCCTTTGAAGGTAGCTGTTTCTACTGTACTACCAATGAGCATCGACAATGTTCCTCAAATTTTGTTTTGGAATCTCTGGATTTTAAGAATATTACTGTAGCTGGCACAACCCCACAGCTGAATGCCATAGGTCCAAATTGGTTTGAGAACTTGTTTATACAAAAGAATTTTGTTATATGTAGATAGTAATCAGATAGTAACCAGTACATTTTCTTGAATTTTATATCTAACTCTTGTCTTTTCTTTTTAACATGCACCTTTGAGCGAAGTCTTGCATCTAATGTAATACCTAGATATTTTGCCGAGTTAGCATAAGGGACCTGAGCATCATTTATGTAAATTGGTATTCTTTGACCATTTTTGTTAGTTAAATTAATATTAACAGATTTGGTTTCGTTTAGTTTAATACGCCATCTTTTGGTCTAATTATTTATTTGATTAACTGATGTTTGTAGTTTATTTGTAGCCTCTTCATGATCTTTGCCTATCGCTAGGATGGCAGTTTCATCTGAAAATGTAGCTATTGTGTCTTGTCCTAGTTGGGGTCTGTCACAAGTGTATAACAGATACAAAGAGGGGCCCAGGATGCTTCCCTATGGTACTCCTGCTTTAATTTCTTTCATTTCAGAGTATGATTTATCTTGTTTTACTCTTATGAATCTATCTGAAATGTATGAATTTAATTGATCTGAGTATGGCTGTAGAAGTAATTATATGTTGATATTTGATTTCTTAAGGAAACAGTTTATTTTATCATATATGTTTATTAAAAGTACTTAAGTAATGTACTGATATTAGTTTGGAGATTTACTTTTAGTGAAACTAGTTTATTTTTTCGTGAATTTGTCGAAATTATACTTGTATTTGGAACTATTAAAATATATATGATTCAAGTTACCGACTGTTAAGTTGTTACACTCACATGTAAAGCACAGGTATCAAGATGGGGAAAGAAAGTTTCGGTACGATAACGACGCAAGTAGTATATGGTAGAATTGATGTTCAGAAACAAGAAAATGTTAGAAACAAAATCGTAACTGTTCGTCTAAAATAATTAGTTAAAATTCTTGGATTTTTCTATTTCATGCGCGCAAATTTTTTGTCTCTTGCTTTCTGTTGCGAAGGAAAGTCCATATATATTACATATGTATACATAATCAAGTATATACTTATGTATATACAATGCATAAATAGAAATCGTCGAGATAATTATAAGTAAAACATTTATTTTATGATTTTCTATATTTTGGTAATATTTTTACAAAACATAAATCAGTTTCTTGCGTTTAGAAGAAAAGTCTTGCATATTATGCAGTTCGACAATTTCATTCCCTCGTATTCCTGCATGTATTTTGGTCCAAATGAAATCTACTTATTATTAGATGTTGATTATATTATTTTTTGTGGTATGACTTTCCAATGATTGAAACTGGAAATGTGGGTGGTCTGGATCTTGGTATTCTTCATCGGATAATGTGTCGTCATTCGGGCAATCAAGGTACGATTCTAACGGTGCTTTGAATCCATTAATTTGAGAACAAACCTTATCCATTCGAGTTGTACACTGGATGCTTTCATAACGACTAATTTGATTTTCCGTTTTTCATAAAATTGTTTTGCTCAAACCCACCCAGGTTTTTTTCTTTCACTAATCAGTAAATTATACTCGTTCAGTTTTATTCATGATTATAACGTTGTGTCGTGTTTTATAAAAATAAATTCATCAACTGTATACAAAACTGCAATCGACGGTGCGGTTAGAACCAAATTAAACCCTTATTATCTAAATGGCCTATTTAAAACGGTATTGAGTTAATTTCTTATTCTCGGCTCGATTTACGATATTGACTATTTTCTCTTCTAGGTAATAAATTGCGCCGCAGACGAAGTGAAGCAGCCAAAAAATTGCCTAATTTTGACTTCAAAATTTCTCTGCCGATGTTGAATTTTTAGCCAGAGGTGCTTAACGTCATCCTTGCTGTTTGCACCAGTGGCGTTAAATTTTATTTTTAATTCCTTCTTGTTGTTCAGAGTGTGGAAGTAAGGCAGCGAAAAATGTTTTTGCAAAGAATTTGATAAATGAGGGGGCCAAATCAAGTTCTTTTTGCTATTGAGTGGATCACTAGGTCGACACCTCGAGATATCTTTGCATTTTTGTTTTATACTTTGCTCTGCTATGGAAATATCGTTATTTTATAAAATTCCGTTTTTGTTTCAAAATCTTTAATTAAATAATAACAGATACCTACTATACTGCATCAAGGAATAACGTTTAAAAGAAAATGGTTAACACCAGCGGAGCCAAAAGGGGTTTATGAAATGATTAAAACGAAAACTTGAATTAATTTAAAATTGTTAACACTTTTGTTTAGCGTTGCTATTAACTGTAATGAGTTTGATTCTGACTAACTCAGAGGCGTGCAAAAGGTGTAAAGTAATTAAAAAAATAAAATACAAGTTTTCTTCATTGGTTTTTTATTTAGAAAGTGTAATTTATAATAATAAATATTTATTAATAATTAATTAGTAAGGCGCTGTACCTACTCTAACCTGAATAACTGCCCTGACACCACCTTGGCATGCTCGAAATTAAGTTATTAATTAGCTCCATATGAACTGCCTCCCAGAACTTTAAAATCGTCTTCTTGAGACGTTCTAGAGTTTCTGGCTGACGTTTGCTTCAGGAAAACTCCAACTTCATCCAGGTCCAGACGTTCTTAATATAATTCAAGTCTGGTGATCTAGGAGACAATGTAGTACGATTAAAGTTTTGCTCTTGTAGATATCTGTTTACTAATAATGCTCAATGAGGCCAAGAGTTATCGTCCACAAGAACAAAATCCTCGCCATAATTTCAGGCATGCGGGAGAACTTCTGGAATCAGACTTTCATCCAGGTAGACCTGGTCGTTTACATGATCCCGAAATACCACGAGTTCTGTCCTTCTGTTTTGTTGAATACCGCCACAAACTGTCTATCCATTACCGCCAAATGCAAGTTGAGAACGCATATTTTCTTCTAAATAACGTTCTCCTCTTCTTCGCCAAGTTAGCAATTGGACATCGGAATGGTAGAGGTTGAAACAGCTTTTATCAACGAAAAGACAGTCTCTCCACCTACGATCTCATTTTATATGTTCTTGAGCCCCTCTTGTCCTGTTGGCCCGGTGAATGCCCGTTAAAAGTGGACATTTTAGCCGATGGCAAGCATTTAATCCCTGATCAAACATTTAACTGCAGTTGCGCTCGGATTCTCTTGGCAGTCCAAACTCTATTTCTGATTTCAGTCCGTACTACTGCTTAATTCTGACTAAGATTAGTTCTTTTTCGAGATCCTACCCCGTGTCGGTAAGCAGCAGTACCATTGTTACCTTCTCTCTATAACGTTCTTTCAACGGATCATTTCTTGACATTAAGGAACTCCGAAATCTCTCTATTGTGTGATTTCTCTGCCCCAATCTTAAAATATTGATCAAATCTACAGTCAAAGTCGCGCCATTTGGACGATAGCAATTTTTTTTCGTTTTGACTTATGCAATCTAATGTCAAAACCTTATCAATATAGTAATCTTTTTGTCGCCTTCTTAATAAAAATCTAGTAATAAAGTTTAGTCAAATGCAAATGCAAAAATGGTAGGTACCTATTGATGAATGCAGATAATCAATATGATAATACTTTATTTGGAAATCGTATAAAAAATATAAATGTGACAAATATCAAAAATATGACAACTACTACAGCTAACAAGAAACAGTAAAAACAATTAGCAACCGTTAAGTATCTAGTGAAAGTATTAAGAGAAAGTGAACGTTTTATCTCAATACTCCCCCTAAAACTTCAAGTTTCATTGTGTATCATTCCTAACATTGAACGCAGTCT